CTTTGTAATATTATAATTTTATTAGGAAGCACAAACCCATTTGTAGTTTGACATGAAAGATCTTTATCCGAATTTCTCACTTTAATATTTGTAAGATACCCGTTCGTTTGGAATTTCTATATGACATGGCAGGATACCTATGTATGCGCATACCCAGTATCTAGTAAATTAAATGCTATTTTGTTGAAATGTCGCTTTTGGGATAAGAAGCAAATATTTATCGAAGAAGCTTGAAATGCACCGACATCTCACTTTACCATAATTATGTTAAGTGCCAAGTTCTCCCTGCTGCCGTAACGCCAATAAAAATTTTAAATCAGCCCATAGATGGCGGTACTTGTCAGCGCAGTATCCAAACTGCTTGCAGTGCCCCTTCGCACAGCAAGAGGTTAAAAGCTTGCTTCGTCGCTCGTTCATGAGTGAGTGACGTCACGTCCATGCGCACTCAAACTCCTGTTTCAAGGTGCATTGTGACCCTAACCCTAACCCTAACCCTAACTCTAAAAAATAACCCTAAAGCCCGCCGCACACGGTGAACTAACTGCTGAGCCAACGGCCTCAAGCCCCCAAGCACTGTGGTTGGCTCAGCAGATAGCTCAGCGTGTGCGCGCAGATTCTGCACGATTTTTGGCCTCGCGTGGCTGTGAGACCGATATCTATCGTGTTTGATATTTGTGGCCACGCGAGGCCAGAAACTCAGCGTGTGCGGGCTCCGTGAGCTATCAGCTCAGCCACAAATATTTACCGACCAATGAAAGCGCAGGAATAGGGCATGTGATTTAAAATGTGCGTGTGTGCGTGTGCAGGTACACGATCTTCGTGCGTGCGTGCATGCGTGCGTGTGCACGTACACATGCGTACATGAGTGTGTGTGGGGCGTGTGTACGTACACGTGGTGCGCGTGCGTGCGTGGCGTGCGTGCGTGCTGGCGTGCGTCCGTGTGTGGGCACGTACACGTGCGTGCGTGCGTGTGCACGTACACGTGGTGCGCGCTTGCGTGTGTGCTTGCGTGTGCAGGTACACGTTCGTGCGTGCGTGCGTGTGCGTGTGCAGGTACACGTGTGTGCATGTGTGCGTGCGTGCGTACGTGCGTGCGTGCATGCATGCATGTTCACATGCACGCACGCACGCACGTGTACGTGCACACGCACGCACGTGTACGTGCCCACACACGGACGCACGCACGCACGTAGTCGTGTACGGTACCACCAACCCGCCACACACTCATGCTACGCATGTGTACGTGCACACGCACGCATGCACGCACGCACGAACGTGTACCTGCACACGCGCGCACACACGCACGTGTACGTGCACAATCACAGAATCTACAGAAAAGTAGAGTTTTCTGCTGTTCAGTGGGCGCCGACATTTTAAATCACATGCCCTATTCCTGCGCTTTCATGGTCGGTAAATATTGTGGCTGAGCTGATAGCTCACGGAGCCCGCACACGCTGAGTTTCTGGCCTCGCGTTGCCACAAATATCAAACACGATAGATATCGGTCTCACAGCACGCGAGGCCAAAAATCGTGCAGAATCTGCGCGCACACGCTGAGCTATCTGCTGAGCCAACGGCCTCTTGAGGCCGTTGGCTCAGCAGTTAGTTCACCGTGTGCGGCGGGCTTAACCCTATTAAAAACAAAATTAATTAAATTTTGTACAGTCGAAACTGTGACGTATGTCTGACGTATGTGAGCGACGAAACAAGCTTTCAACCTTTTGCCTTCGCACACTCAAGTAGAATTGAGCCGCAGCCGGCTGAAAGGGGTGATAGGATATGTTTACTAAGCCTTCTAATTTAACATATATTTTACGATATATTAAAGAATGATGCAAAAAACCCTAAAAAGTGCCCTAACCCTAACCCTAACCCTAACCCTAACCCTGACCCTAATTAAATTTAAAATATATGTTAAATTAGAAGTGCCTAGTAAACATATCCTATCACCCCTTTCAGCCGGCTGCAATTGAGCCAGAGCGAGAGCGCCATCTGTCGTGGAGTTTGCGCAGTATCCTCCCAGACTAACGGATACATAACGGATGTATCCGTTAGTCTGTGGCATCCTCTGGGCGTGGGAGGCACTAGTACACCTGCGTATTTCTCGTGTAGAGACAGCGTATAGATCATGAAGTCGAAGACTTGCACGGCGGGCGAGGAAGACACCTCGCACGGTTTTTTTGGATGGGTAGATATGTTGACCTGTCTGTGAAATCCTAACGAGAGGAGCGCTATATGTAAGATATAAAAGAATCATCACACACAGACGCGCACGCTCGCATGTACGTAGGCACGGAAGCACGCACGCACGCACGCACGTACACACAGTGTCACACACACACACACGCACAACACGCACGCACACCACGCACATGCACACACACACACACACACACACACACACACACACACACACACACACCACACACGCACGCACGCACGCACGCACGCACGCACGCACGCACGCGCGTACACACACACACACACACACACACACCACACCACACACACACACACACTTATATATATTATATATATATATAATACATAATATGTATAATATATCGCCCTCTCACCTCTTTCGCAGTTTCCCTTATTTTACCTCTGTATGTCACCCACTATCCACCTCTTTAGCACTCACATTAATTTTTACGATCACCATTAGCACGATCAGTATGTGGTATATGCATAAACTGGAGAGGCGGCGCAGTAGACAACGTAGCATGTATAATGGCGTATCATGTGGATATTAGCAGGAGTGGATAATAGGGTCCTATTATCCACTCCTGATATTAGTGATGATGGTAATGGCCGATGGATGCGACTGCCGTCATTAACAACCGCAAATTCACTCGTAATTAATGCAAGAAAATCATGAGTAACGATTTCAATCATATGCCAGATGATGGTGAGTTTCGCGGCCTCAATTTACATTGATTTAGCGATCTCATACTTCGGAACCTGTACGATTAGTCACCCCTGTCGGACATCGGTTGCAGAGCAGCGGCGTTCAACGCATTCGAGCGGGAATCGTAGGCAGGCGTCCGTGCGCGTGAGTGAAATTCGACGAACTGTGGACTGAGCTGTGTGCGTATAGTATCAAGCAGCAATTTCCAATTCGCGATCCATATATGACTCTTGTACAGAGCTAGCAAAGATGCCTGCGCTTCTTCTATCACCAGGAGAACTGAATAAGCTCATAAGCTGTCCAGACCCAAAAAGACCAACCCATCAAGTAATATTAATCAGTTCTACCTGTTTAATTAACATATATAATTCGATTAATTAATATCGAGAATTGATCAGTCATACATTGCGTAGTTAGGATGATTATTATACTAATATTCAGCATGCTGATATCTATTAAAAAGGGCTATTGAGCTGCAGTATGTTGTCAGAAACTGCCAATCAGTTGGAAACGCCATATCTCTAATCTCTATACTATAGCAACTGTACTGGTCGTGATGATTAAACTTATAACTGTGTTAGGGGAATGTATAACATATACACACACACACGCACACACACACACACACACATGCAACACACAACACACACACAGACACACACAGAACACACACACACACACACACACAAACACGCACGCACGCATGCACACACAGACACAACACACACACACACACACCACACACACACACACACACACACAGCTGACACCACGATGCGGCGCGCTGCCGCGCAGCCGCGCGCGCGCGCACACACACACACACACACACACCACCACACACATACACCACATACAAACACACACACACACACGCACGCCAGGCGCGCACACATACACGCGCCGCGCGCAACACACAACACACACACACACACACACACACGACACACACACAGCACGCGCCAACACTACTGTATCCCCCGCTGATCTAGTATGAATGGAATATTGGCTCTGTAAGGACGTCAGAAGGCGAGGGTAAAGTTTAAATAAGTCACAAAGACAAAGGTTTGTTAGACAACTGGTGCTGCTCAGATGCTGCAAGTATATGGAAATCTGGTTGACCTAGGAGGCCGAAGAGGAAAGTTAAGTCGACGGTTTGAAGTTCAACTAAGGCCAAGGGCATAGTGGTTGGTTTTGGTATGCGACAGACCTTCTCCCAAGATGTCGTAAGCATACAATTTTTGGTTCGCGCTAGGTTCAATTAGGGGTGATTAGAGACGGAAAGGGAAATATGATCAAGGTGTCAAGGTAAGGTGAATAAAGGTCGCAGCAGTGCCTGGGCAGGTCTTTACCCGATCTCGGATTTGATCTTCAAATTTACATGAAGCGTGCGTTAATGGCTAAAGCAAAGACGCCAATCGTTTTTTGGTGTGGGCGTCGTTGCATGGTAACAACATTTGTGGACAATATTGTAGATCTGTAACTTGTTTGCCCTGTTTTTACCTATTTGTCATGGAATTGGCAACAGGGCCGATATAACATGTCCTATATATTTGATAACAATCATAAATACAAATATTAAATTTAAATTTTATTTTAAAATTTTAAAATTCAAATTTTAATAAAATTTAAATATAATTTTATACGAAATATAAATTCCATGACAATCGGAGAATAAAAAAGTGCAGAAGTTACACCGTTCTAGACTTTTTCGACAAAAAATGATTGTTTACCATGGACGATGACTCCGGCCCACACCAAAACGATGGGCGTCTTTGCTTTACCGATAACGCACCTTCATGCGAAATTGAAAGATGATCGAGAAGAAACTGCAGCGTAGGCGTATCACAAGGAAATCTCTGCGGCGGCGGCGGCGGCGGCGGCGCGACGATGCCAAACCCATAGTATCCCCACGAACTTCGTTCGGGGGATACAATAATATATTGTAGTATATATTATCTAGTATCGTATACTATAGTATACGAATGTTCATAGCATTACACGTGGATTGCAATACGAGACCATGCAGTACTAACTGTAGCTCCACGTCCGGGTTTTACCTACATTCACATTTTTAAGGGCTTCGCGTTTCTAGGTCGTCGATGGATCGTGGCAGTTTCCGCACACCGGCAGGGATGTGAAGAAAGAGTTTACCGCCGCGCACATCCCGGGCTCCGTCAAATTCGTGCTCGACGAATGCTGTGACAGAGGCTCCCCCTATGACCAGATGCTGCCGAGCGGCGAGCAGTTCGCCAGCTACGTCGGCGGGCTCGGCGTCGGCAGCGACTGCCACGTCGTCGTCTACGATAACTCTGAGATGGGCATGTTCTCGGCGCAGCGCGTCTGGTGGTTGTTCCGAAGCTTCGGACACGATAACACGAGCATACTTAACGGAGGGCTGCCGGCCTGGAAGGCCGCAGGACTGCCGATGCAGTCCGGGGAAGTGCAGGTGGGCGGACGGGCTATAAAAGACTAAGAATAAGCTAAGAGAAGGGTGGAGAAATAAGAGAGATAGCCGGTTACAGAAAAGAGGGAGATGGGCGGCGAGCACTTACTCTAGAAGGCTGTGGGGGTGGTGCTACAGGATGTCGTTTCGCTGGGTTATGCTAAATCTAGAAGGGGTTTATTTAAACAGGAAGCATGTGCATGCCATACGGGGTGTAGTTCCACTGTTTTAACTTCCGTAATTGTGACTACTGGGGTATTGGGCGCACGGGTAGACGCTACGGGGTGTAACTATACTGCGTTAGGCTGACCATAGAAGGGAGTTTTTTTGAGCAGGATGCCTGGGTAGATGCTGCTAGGTGCAGTTTCACTAAGTTAGTCTGACTCCATTAAAAGCTTTATTTAGGAAGGTAAGTTTGATTCTAACGTGTTTGTTGTTTTGCCATGGCTTTCATATATTCTTGCTTATGTTTGAAAATGTGATGCGGGTTGGTGGACGAACACGCATATATACCCTCACTGTATCATGTATGCAGCCTAACGCATTAGTTGTATTGAATTTTCGTTTAAATGCATTATTGTGCGTGATCGGGCCGTTTGCACGTAGACACGCAGGCAATTACGGTAATACCTATAAACGGTGCACGCTATCTTGTTGCTTCTCTTTAATCGACAATACCTGTCGTGTTTTACGCCCGTGACTATCCTCTTTCGTTCGTGCGTTATATCTCTTCTCCCGCCCATCCGTGTATAGTAAACACATTATTTACATAGTTGTTATTAAGAGGTATTAATACATGGATTATTTGCTCTTGTTGGCATGTTAATATTGGGTTCCCACTGAGTTTTGTCTACCAAGCCTGGATACCTGACTAAATGTAATTGTTTCGTCTGTCCGTGCGTAGACAGAGAGCAAGGTATTCAAGGCAAAATTCAGACCTGAGATGGTGGCTTCTTACGCGGACGTGCAGGCGAATCTAGCAGAGAGGAGCTTCCAGCTGGCAGATGCTCGACCCCCTGGCAGGTTTAATGGCAAAGACGCCGAGCCAAGAAAAGGTATAGCGTGCGGACTATTTATACACGTGTGCATCCGTAGCAGTGTGTGCGTGGGTGTGTACTTGTGTGGGTGTGTGAGTGTGTACTTGTGTGTGTGTGTGTGTGTGTGTGTGTGTGTGTGTGTGTGTGTGTGTGTGTGTGTGTGTGTGTGTGTGTGTGTGTGTGTGTGTGTGTGTGTGTGTGTGTGTGTGTGTGTGTGTGTGTG